CAAGCACGTAATAACAATGCATGATTGCTCTTGCATGGGCTAAGATTAAAACATCCATTTTGCTGTGGACGGCTGTACAGCTTAGCTGGGGCTGCCTTCAGAATCAGCTGAAAGCAACTAAGCTTGGTTGGATAGATTGAAATGCTTTTACCAAAAAAAAAGAAAGGATTTAGCAAGTCACTTGCTGATTGGTTGCGAAGGTTACAACATAAAACGTATTGTCGTTTTGAAGAATCATCCCTTATCTGTAAAGTGTGATACAAAAAACAATGGTGACAGATGTGTTGAAAGAGCCACTGGAGATCACAAGACTTCACTTCAAGCAGCACTGTATTTCATAAGAACTAATTCTGCAGGAATGAATTAAACATGAGAAGACACTGGATGTGTAATGGAAAGGTGGTAACCTAAACACAACTTGTTGAAATTTTCATAAAGTCATTTGAAACCAATCTGGTAGATCCATTTGACACTTTAAAAGAACATGATTGAATATCACAGCTATGATTCATATGGAATGTCATTAATCATATCATGTAAATCTATGTCTTCCTGGACCAATCAATGTTTGCGCATCCTGTTGAATTTCAAAAGTGGAAATCTGGTTGCCATTTATAAAAGTCATACACTGAAATTTGGTGTGAGCGATTTTAAGCCCTGTTCAAATTGAAAAACAACAACCCAGAATCAGAAAAAAAATACCAGTCATGTCAGTTGTGACAGCATTAAAGCAACCATCAGTTGGAGCAAATATGATTCCTCTTGGGAACGGTTAGATTCCTTAATTCATCACTGGACACAAATGGTTTCTTACAACTCATCAATCATCAAAAATACTTTGTGTATTTTCTTGAGTGAGTAATACTGTGTTTCAACTCACAGAGTGTCAGCTTCATGTGGGAGGGAAGCTTGGAGTAATGTTGAAGTATGGGAGTTATGATTGCCTTAGCGCTAAGATCATTTTGTGGAACAAGGCTCTAGGCCCTGGGCCCCATTCCACAAAGCCATCTTGGCACTAAGGTGATAATAACTATCATACTTTAACACTGGCCAACGATAGTCGTTTCACTAAGATCGCTTGTTAAAAACCTGAAAACTTCATGGCTTGGTCTGCAAAGTTTTGCCCAAACTGGGATTCAAACTGACAACAAACAAGCCCAACAATCTCAAAGGAACCAACTCTGTTGTGACGTCCCTCAAACACTGCGAGAGGTTGTGAGTGAGTGAGTATGGTTTTACGCCGCTTTTAGCAATATTCCAGCAATATCACGGCGGGGGACACCAGAAATGGGCTTCACACATTGTACCCATGTCGGGAATCGAACCCGGGTCTTCGGCGTGACGAACGAACGCTTAAACCACTAGGCTACCCAACCGCCCGCGAGAGGTTGTGAATATCAATGCAAATTCAAACATCATACAAAACTGACATTGCCATCGTACAACGCTGTAACTGTGTAGGTTCCACCATGATGCTATTATGATGTACTTGGATATTGCGTCTTATCATTATCATTACTGTATATTATCTCTAGTACAATGTGTCTAATTTGTGTTCTATACCTGGACCATAGTGGGAGGACAAGTACATTAAATGTATCTTTACAAGGGCAAAAGTGAGCGTGGCTCACTAATACCCCCGACCCACCTGTCAGTAGTTTCAAATTAAATAATAACATCTTTTGACTGCACCCCTCCATATGACACAGATTATATGTGCTAAGTTTGAGATAAAATCCACTGAAAAGTTTAAGAGAAATCGCACGTACAAAGTTTTCGGACGGACGGACAGACGGAACCTTGGTATAACTATTTACCCCCTAAGGGGTCGGGGGTATAATTAATCTTTAAAAAATCTTTATGAAGCTGCAAGAGTCAAACCATAGCCATGATTAATATGTGCATCCTTGTCATACACAACACTAAACAATTATCAAACTACCCTAAGCTGTCGTATATACAGCAATTTCATGGTCTAAACCTATTACAAAAATTTAGATCTCAACGAAGATTTTTTTAATTAAATGTTTGACTGTAGCCTGTCATGCGGAGATGCCAATCAAGTTTTTATCAGCCAATGAACAGTATACCACGTTTGCCTAGCATGTTAACCCAGCCACAGCTGTGGGACTTGATGAATGTGCCGCAAAGGCACATCACTCCTCGGGATTAAAAAAATGTTTAATCTTCCCATCCACAGATGTGCTAACAAGCTAAGAAACCAGCTCTCAAGTTGACAAAGACCCTATATTAAATTAAACAAAGTTTCACACCTACATTTTTTTCACTAGTAACAAAACACTTTTAATGTCTACTGAACAACTGATTTTGTCCAAGAGTAAAGTCTGTCACAAAGTAGTCACAAAGTGTACAAAAAGGGTCCACAACTATCAAAGTTCAGTCAAAGCTTGGGAGAAGCCTACTGTTGCAAACAACATACAGTAAAAGGTTTTGCGGAGTTGTGTATGATATTGATAGTTGTATGGAAACAATACAAAATCAATAGAGCCCATGGCAGTTGCAGCATATGCTGCTAAGACCACTTCCATGTTCCAGTCAGCATGGAGCCATGACACATTATGAATGACTGGTCAATATGTGCGCTCTGAAAGTCCTACTTTCTCATTGGACTTCGCTTGACAGCAAGACACAAAATGAAACCATTTTCTCTGCTTTTCTGCAGATTAATAAACGATTTTTTCCCCACCTTTAGCAAGCCTGTCATATTACAAGCAAAATTCACTGAAGAGATTTTCTCCTACACTGATCATATTTACACGCTAGATACTGTTTTAGCGATTCTGTCATATTACATGCAAAATTCACAGAAGTGTTTTTCTGTAGCACTGATCATGATATTTAGACCACTGATAGTTTTAGCGATTTTGTCATATTACACATCAACTTCAGGAGATTTTTCCCTGACACTGATAATGATATTTAGTAGGCCTGGGACGATACACCAACTGTGACATCCGATACGTATCATGATACATTGCTCCTGATCCGATACATCACGATACTTGCATGTGCACTTATCTGTGGTTTGAAAGCAATCTTTTTCATAGACAGGATGGCTAAATACCTGGCACACTGACGATTTACAGATGGCAGTGTCAAGTATGGTGAAATGAATGAAAATATGTACATTTTTACTACTAATTAGTGCTTGTTGTAACAGTTACTAAAGCATCTGGGTATCGTCCCACTACTAATATTTAGAGGCCTGTTTAAGCGATTCTGTCACATTACACGTAAAATTGAGAAGAGATTTTCTGTGACACAAATCATAATCTAGATGCCAGGTACAGGAAAACTGTGGTCTGTAATTTTATAAATGCAAGCCGGACTTTCATTATGAGGAAAGACATGACTGGGCACTGAGGCAATTTGAACTGAATAATGTTTGCCAACCTGTGAATAACGATACATTTGCTTGAAATATCCCATCACCATAAGTAAAAAGTAGAAAATTCTGTGAATATAAAAAACACCTTTGATGCCAAAAATGGACAGTATCAGCTTTCAAAGTGTTTGTTATATGCAGTTGGATCAGCCATTCAGCTCAATTACTATCTCCTCTTCGTAACAATACAACCAGTACAACAGCGCACACATTTACCACATATCTACACAGATTTACACCTCAGTCATGAAACATTACAAAGTTTCAAAATACAACGTTCAAATGAAAAACATTAAACCAACAACCTATCAAATACATTCATGAAGCTTTGACCTTTACAGGTAAGGTGTTACGTAAACGTGTGTTGAACAAATACGTCATGATGAGTGAGATAAGACTATCTACCTTGTCAATGGGCCACTGTAACTAACTGTCGTCAGAGAACCATTCTACCCACACATGCCTAGGCTGTCCGACCTCCTTCCTACATTCGACCTCCTTCCTATATTCACCCCGTAACCGAGATATTCCTGATTGTTCATAGATCACCACTGTATCACCGGTCACATGACATGCCCAAGCTGTTCAACATGTCGGTGTTCCTGTGCTATCTGTTTGAGTCAATAAACCTGCAGTCAATGTATTCTTCCTCGCATGACAACGCAACATGCAGCATTATTGATATTTTTCCCGTTGCCTCGCAGTTCAGTGGCCTCACTGCTGCTGGAAATCTCAACAAATGATGGAAATATTAATCTTTAGGATAGACGTTTAATTTGTTCTCGTTTCTAAACAAAGAGGTTATGATATTCTGTTTAACGTCATTCACTCTAACTTGAACAACCACTTTCTGACAAGGTCATAGCCGGATATTGATATATATTCTATTTCCAATACGGATTAGGATATTGTGTATTGAAATTGTTTAATACAAGATAAAAATTGCCAATGTGTGTATCAGTCCGAGGCATGTTCATTTCAACAAGTTAGCAAAGACTGCACTCACAACATCTACTGGCTGGCTTGTGAGAATTACACACAATCACTCATACTGTGACATTTTATATTCAGCGCACGTTGAATATGCAGGTACGTTTTATTATGTCAATAATTCACCTGGCTATTGATAAACATGGCCGTGAAAGTAGGTCATCATGTATGAAGCATGATCAGGTTAGCTTGGCGTGACATGCCTATCTACCGACAGGGCCAGTTGTGTGTCAATGAAAGAGACATAAGTCTGTACATGTCGCTGAGGACAACACTGGAAACATCTGAATACAGCCGATATAATAGTCTTTTTTTAAACTAAAGTCATTAAATCATTCTTGTGATATTCTTACTGTTCATAAAAATATAACATAAATTAAATTTTTCCCCCATCAGATGAAATGAAAAGAAAAAATTATCCCAACACAAAACATTTGCCCATACTGTTTTGCATCAGTGGAAACTGATGAAATAAAACTGGTTCTACATCTGTAAATAAAAGGGAACGATATTCAAGAACTAATAACATATTTAAATTTTTTGAGTTTACTGGTAATTAATTAAACTGAAATAAATCCTCAGTGAATAGGTCATAATATCCTACCATTTGTGCACTCTCTATTCCACACATTCCATTGAGAACATACAGGTGACACAGCTCCGAAGCGCTTGAATGATGCTTCAACAATAACCTGGAACTCCTCCTCCCCGTCACGTGTACCGACTCTGCATGACCATTACAACAGCGTAAACTCAGTATAAACGTCACAAAAGCTTGAACGCATCAAATCTCACAAACCTTCTCTCTGTCTGTATGCAACAAACACCTCTTGTTCACATGTTCTCGGTCAGCTAGCTCATTATCAATCATTAGCATTCACACTGTCGGTCGATATTCCATTTTGTAAACAATACCCTTTTCCAAAACTACCAAGCCCATTATGCATTATTTGAAATCGATATGAGTTAGATGTCAGTGGCTTGGTGTTGTACCTAAAAGGCTGAACGATATGCTAGAATGGACAATAAGGCTACAGCATTTGATTCTCATTTTCAAGCTCTGGCTTAATTTCTGGAACAAGCATTGTCAACACAATTCCTCATTTGCTACAGCTAGTGTTTATTCTGGTTAACGAGATAACTTGCTTGAAATACACCGCATTTTGTAAAGAAAAACAAATCCAGGTCAATACGAAACCGCTCATCTGCGAAACTGTATATTTCGAAGCAGGAGGTTACACATAAATAGTTTCATAATGTATCTTCAGTGAATTAATAATTCATGTTTCTCATGTTGTTTTCCTTACAGCAAACACACCTTAGGTTTTCACCTAATATGGTCATGAAACAACGGTAATTGTGTGATGCTGCCAGACGCTGAGCACACATGAAGCGGCTGTCATGTGCATTCATGGATGTGCCTGATGTAGGCCAGCAATGGTACCTGGATCCCTACATTTCAGTCTGTTCGTTCAATTGGTTTTCCCCAGTGCATAGTGTAGAGAAGATTAAACATTAGTATGAAATGTTGAAACAGAGAGAGTATTTGTTTTTTCTTCCTCAATGTGTGCCATGACATGCATAATTCATTGTGTTCAATACAAGTTTCTACATGACTGCTTAACAACAGCTGTTACAGGAACATAGGGGATGGATTTTTTAATGAGTTCACAATGTATCGAATACATACCTAATGCATTTCCCACGATCGTTACCCGATAGGATGCATATCTGATAACGAATGAGGGCATGGACTACAGATCACATACATATGTGCCAGCTTCAGTCCATCTGTCGTCCATCCTTGTCAGTATTGCCTACCCTGTCCTACACAGGTCACAGCCATGTAACATTCTGGTGAAATCCACAATTATCGTTGATAAAACCAAGGACCACAATCAGGTTAAATTTAGGATTAAAACCCAGAATAAGCTCATACGACGATTGAATAAAAACTGAATAAGCCTGCTTTCTAACAATAACTGCCAAGCCTTAAGGCTTCTACATCAGGCAAATATCACATGTTTCTGGTGATAGTGAAAACATGGATCGGCAATTAGATGAATTATGATCATAACAGTTAGCCTCTCCGTCCTTCAGTTCATGCTCCTGTTGATCCTTCCGCCCTTCAAATCACCCATGTTTTGTCTTTCCATCTGTGACCATCCATATTTACCCACGAAAGTGAGTGTGAAATGTCTGTGTTCTCGTGTATCTGACCCTTCATCCATCACTTCATTTGCCCGACTTCTTGTCTCTTCAAATTGTCTGTGGCATCAGTCTGTCCAGCCCCCGTCCACATGGCCGTCCATGTGTGTGTGTGTCCACCTTACCGTGTGTCCACCTTACCGTGTACCTACCATGCCTACAGTCAGTGTTACTTGACACAAGGATGAAGACATTCAACATATCAACACATGTCCAGGTCAAAAGGTGTACTGTCTACCTCATATGGTTCCCAACTAACACATTTGTTTGTTTCTTGTTCAACACCACACGCAACAATATTCCAGCGGTCTGTAAACAATTGAGTCAGGACCAGACAATCTTGTGTTTGATGTCATGAGCATCGATCTCGCCATTGGAACATGATACATGCATCAACCAAGTCAGAGAGCCAGACCTGGCAATCTTACAACAAGCCCGGGTTGTTAAAGATCAATTCTAACCCGGATCTTCACGGGTTACATTAAAAAATAGGGAAGATCTACTACGTAAGAATGTACCATTGAAATACACAACAATGCAATATTCTGACATAATTTCATATGAATTGTATCAAAACAGTTTCATTTCTGTTTCCACTCATAGACCTACAGGATCTAAAAGACCAAATTTGGAACATGCCTCCAGCAACTGAAATCACGAAACATCAGAAAGAAATATTCTGATGTGAAATACTTCAACCACTGGCACCAATCGCCAGTATATCGGTCATGCTGGTGATGAGTGGTCAGGTGATTAGTATTCTGTTAATCACTGACCTTATTTCTGTGCAAGGCGGGCAACTGACCTGATTTCCACAGACAGATCAGTTCAAAGACAGCATCCCGGAGGGAGACAAATCAATAGCACAAATTGATATACAAACTGACCACTGGCGCATGTAGCGGTTGCCACAGCAACGGCCAGGTTGGACGTCTGACCCAACTGAGTACGCAGACTGACCAATGTCGGTCACTATTCGCACCATGCAATGATCAGCAAATTTTCATGCCAAATGTTTCACATAAACTAGGTCCATCTCATCTGTTGTCAACATTTGTTAAACACGAACCAACTTGTTGAATCGATTACTAGTACCTAAAGGATTAATCAATTACTGTGATCCAAATGCCACATCATGGTGATCATAATAACTATACTGTAGTGCCAGTACTCCTTATTTCCACAAGGGGTGGTCGGGTAGCCTAGTGGTTAAAGCGTTTGCTTGTCACGCCGAACACTCGGGTTAGATTCCCGACATGGGTACAATGTGTGAAGCCCATTTCTGGTGTCCCCTACCGTGATTTTGCTGGAATATTGCTAAAAGCGGCGTAAAAGCAAACTCACTCACTCACTATTTCCCCCATCGTCTTATTTCACCTTGAATCAGGTCATAGATGAATCAGGTCATAGATATCCTGCTGCGCCCAACCAGTATGCCATCCAGTGTACCAACAAGTCTGACAACCAATACACAAACTGATATGTCAACCGATAGCTCAACCGACATTTCAACCGATGACAGGAAACTAGCACGAGAAACCTGAATTAGTAAACTCATGGTCATTAATTGGGCTCTCTTCAACACAAAGACACAACACGCAACACTGTCTTAGGTATAACATGCCTCCCTACAACACAACACTGTCTTAGGTATAACATGCCTCCCTACAACACAACACAGTCTTAGGTATAACATGCCTCCCTACAACACAACACACAACACAGTCTTAGGTATAACATGCCTCCCTACAACACAACACACAACACAGTCTTAGGTATAACATGCCTCCCTACAACACAACACACAACATTGTGTTTGGTCCCATGGTGCAAGAGAATCAAAGCAGATCCAACATTCATGTATGATGACGAAAACGGATCTTAAAAGTCATCTTGCTTGTCTCATTCTGTCCTGTTAGAGAATCTGCCACTTTCAAGTGTTAAGTAACAAATGTAAGGATTCGTAAAAAGGGTCTTCCAACTGCAGTTTTTAAACTACCTCTGTCCCACTGCGTAACCATAAACAAGAATTGGGGGCACAAGGGAGCCTTTCTATCACCTTGCTTTTAACCATCTGGATCAGCATCATTCATGATATTTGAAAGTATGGCCATGTTTATCTTGCAGTGACAGTGCTTCCACCGCCATCTTACTTCCTCCATCATTGTCGGACACAGGTCACGGTCCATTTCCTCCTCGCAGATTTCCATCCAGAACAGAGCCCTGACTGAATATTTATATCGAGATTAATACTGAATGCTTTCCTTCAACATTGTGATGTCAGAAGAATGAAACCCTCAACTCCTCAAACATGGAAACATCCATGCTTTTCTCATCACCTTCATAAAGAACTGAAACTAAATTTTCGTTTTCTTAAATACTAAACTGAACTGACTTTTCTCAAAGACAGGCAAATTGTTTTTGACTGAAAGTTTTTAAGAAATTTGAAGAAGTATTGAAAATTTGGACTTTGATATGAAAAATATCTGCAAAATATGCAAGAAGGCATATAAAAGATAAACAACATTCACAAAACGCGAAAGGATCTATTAAATCCTGAACTCATAAGGTTCACTCTCCATACAGTTTGACATCAAATAATATAAAAAGAGTCCAAATAAATACAAAGTTGTGTTTCCAATTACACATAATTTCAAATAAACTGGGTTTTATGTGATGCACAAATGTGTGTCCAGTACACACACATGTAGAGAACTGACACAGAAAAATAATATACTGCATCCCGAGGGATACACAATAATACTCATAATGTAGCTACAGTATATCGACCAATAATGGTCATCTGTCATGACATCCATTAGTCATGACCACTGTCCACCTGATCATTGATTAATTTCAGACTCTAAAATTATTATCAAAACATGCAGTATACTACATCATTTCATGACTTCACAGGACACTCCTACTGCCTGCAGGGACACTTAAAAGTAATTATTGGGGGTCACCTGGACCCCCACTTCTGTAAGTCATGGTAAAACCCTGAAATAGGGTAGGAATGACAGATAATTTTGGATCACATCTTATATATGCTAGAATAACAACACTTGAGTAAATTCCATTTAAGAACAAATGAACTTAACCAAAAAAACATATTTCATTAATATCAAAAACAAAAACTTCATCAAATCAAATCAAAATAAAAAGATACAGAGAGCATTGTGGCAGGAAGTGGCCAACAGAAAGTGACAGGTCTCAAAGCAATATGGTCGAAAATTATTTTATCAGCGCACAAGTGAAAACTAAAACTTCTCCGTGAGTTATAAGCAAGGGAATAACCTTCAATCAATGTAATTCCCAGTGTGACAGCCAGAAAACAGATGAAATGCTCAATCTAACAAACACCCAAACTTATGCAACCTTCATCTGAAGTCAAACAACTCACAGGAATTCAGTGTAAATCGAGACACGCTGCTTTTTGGATAAAAAGCGAGGAGTAGAGTGTACTTTACCAACTGCAAATCAACTACATAGAAATCAATGTTTGCTCCAATCATAATTGCTTCATTACCGCAATGCTTCATCTCGGTCAATACATGCAGCAATGCTGTCAGGAGGCAGGAGAAAAGAATTGCCAACTAGCCCGGAGAATTGAACGAAGGACCATTTTTGTTAATCATTTATCTTAGTGAAATTTCACTTTGACTCTAATC